CCCCTCCCCCCCCAAAACCCCTCTTTCTTACCATCGTTTAACTCCTCGTTGCTCGTCCTCTCTTTATTTAGACCACAGGTGATAACTTGTGAAATCTTTTCATTTGTTAAGTCGATTTTCTTGAAGTGTAGAGGAACAACTTAAAAGCATGGATTTTCTTTTGTTTGGACAGAATATATAAAATTTGAATGAGGTTATTAACTATCAAACGGAAATATTGTCCTTGAAGTAAAGAGGGAAAACCAAAATGGCTTAATTTTCATGTTTGCTTTGATATCAGACAAGGAGTTAAGTGTTGCTTTCTCCTAAACTTGTGTCTTTATAGTGAATAGCCAAAATGCAAGAGAAAAGCCATACACATCCAACAAGCTGAAGTCAGCAACTATACGTTAATTCTTGGGGGGATTTCATATTATTTACTGTCTTAGTTTGAATCCTGTCATTTTGAAAGATGGTTAACCAGAAAGAACCGTAAACGCATCGTGTCAATCCTGTCATTTTGAAAGATGGTTAACCAGAAAGAACCGTAAACGCATCGTGTCGGCTATAAGTTACAATAACTACGCCTCAATCACGAGCTAGTCAGAATCGTCGGTATGATTTCTCACTAACTAAAAGGCTTTCTCACACTCTTGACTGGTCTCAAGCTCGGATTATAAAGAAAAACCTAATCAATTTATGATAAATCTTCATAATACATAATCTCGATTATTCTGAATTCATATTCCAAAGGTGCATGATTGCGACATGAAAATGAATAAGTAGCCCCCACAATGTTACACTTCATTAATTGCTTAATAACAACAAAATCACAAGTCACATGAAATCTTGTACAGCACTACAAGACAGCTACAGGCCTAAAATCACTAGACTACACCTTACAGATTACAATTGAAGATTCCAAGGGGCCATGACACATCCTTAGCAGCTCCTTATTAACAAGTCTAGTCTCAATCACCCACCCTTCTTTTATAATTTTGGCTCATTAATACCAACTTGCTTGAACAATACTCTGATATATCTCCTCAACTTGGGATTTGGGAGCTGATTTAATACACATATAGTACAATAAACATTTCAATAATAGACCATAGTACTACTCAGGGTGGAGGCAGCCTTATAACTACGAGTTCGGTAGAATCCAATAGCTTGGTTCAAATCCTCTATTTGTGTTATAAAATTTATTGAACATGTATAAATAGTCTATTTAGAACCCAGCAAGTAAAAAAGATTATGATCCAGAACCATAATATAAAAATTCTAGATCCGCCCCCGGTACTACTTCCATAGTTCCATTGATATAGCCAGGCGAATCCATGATCTTAGAGCTAGCGAGCGTATTCAAAATGAGTGTGATCTTATTATACGTACACATTGTAATTTTTCACAGATCTGCACCTGGATATATATGCAGGGGCATATTTAGTGGCATGTGAAGAATATATCAGATTACTACCAAAAATATATCAATTTAGCACGTTTATATTTTATTCCTTGTGTGACTCCTTCTAATGATCTTAGTCTGAATCTTTAGTATGATCATTGTCCAATATCATTTTCTGAATCATTGCACTTGTCTCTTCCTCTGTAATGCAATCTTTGTTATGTGATTGAGCATATGTCTCAAAGAACTCTTTATTCTCTTTCTCTAACTCATTCCACACTGCAAAATACAGGAAATGTCCTATTAGCAGTATCATTATGAGCGGTTAATAAGTTAATATTCGTTTGTTAAGTTGAAAGGGGATAAGTATTTGAAGCTTAATTACCAAAACTTTTGTAATATAAAGCTTCAAAAGCTTTTTGTATAGCTTTAACTAATCACTACCCTTGAAAAGCTCTTCATTCTTATAATTACAGTTAAAACCCCTCATAGTGCAAATTTGTGCATGCATGCGTAGGAATAGAAACAACGCAAGATCACATAACATCTATATTCTGACAGTGTAAAAGAAATTTAAACTATTAGATCAGTTATAACTACACGTAACTGTCTATAATAAGTGAAACTAGTAACTGGGTAAATAAAGCAGGTAACTTGCTACTATGACATAATATAGTATTAAAATGTACCGATAGTGTAAAAGTTCTTTACTCTAGTAGTGTATGTAAGTTAAATCCGATGAAAAATTACAGCACAAACCAGTAGCAGTAATGACAGGATTGATATTTGCATGCTTGGAAAGGGCATCCATGCACTCCTCTTTGGTCATGTGGAAAATCAGACACTTCTCTATTAAGTGATGTACCTAAATTAAGAATAATCAGGTTAGTAGATAGTCGGAACCAAAAACAGCAAAATATATATACCACAATAAATAAGATTTCCAAATTCCAAAAGCAGAATCAACAAAAGTAAAGTTGAGTCAGTAAAATCAGAAGTTGATGATCATCTTATGCAACTTTTTATGTACCATGTATATGTATGAAGCAGAGGAATCACCCATAATAGTTTAGTACTCCTATCTGATCTTCAGCAAAGCAAGTTCAAGAAAATATTAGTATATGAGATCAGATTATACATGAATTGTAATGTCTGATTAGAGATCTTGAGCTGAGGAGTGAAATGGAATAAAATTATATATAGTGTACAAAAGGAGAAGTATAGTAGTTGTAGGGACAAGAATCCCACGTGAGAGATAAATGATAATTGGTGGAGAGGGGATTAGAGGAGATTTGTGAAATGACTATTTCTTTGTCTTGTAATATTGTCATAGGCAGCAGCCTTCACGTGATGATGTTGTCCAGCATTGAGAAATAACCTAATGTGGACAAAAGTTTAAAAATTCAGAGACCATCTATAAAAAGTGGCATTAGCAACAGCAAAAAATCCTGCTACAAAAAGAGTAGTACGGTAAAATATTTTATTTTTTTGATTCGAATTAGGTCACGTCCGAACAGGTGTGATGTAGACAGTTTATCCTAATGCAAGCATTAATGATTGCTTATGTGATAGACAACCTATTATATTATGTTAAAATTTAAATTACTCAGACTCTTCACTTTTAGTACCGTACCCGTCTCGACGCGATATGGGTGTGGGGGTGGGGGTGGATGTGGGATCCATACTGAATATAGTCAATCGATTTTGGGTACTTTGATCACAATCAACGGAGAAATTCGGAATAAATACAATGATTTTTTTAAATCGAAACAAAAGCTAGGGTAAAATTTAAAAAAATGGAATACTTTGTATATAGAAATTTCTATGTCAGTCCTTTTCCTATTTATCTCCTTTTCGAATTCTGCTCTCGATTAATATTTTCTTCTTCTCAGAATATCTTAACAGTTTTTCGCATAATTTAGACATATTCTTATAAGTCTACTTTTAGATATTTGAATTATTTTTAGCCGAATTCCTATACTCGTATCCATCTCTGGATCCGTACCCCCGAATTTTAAAATTTAGATCACGAAAAATACAACCTCTAGATCCGCACCCGTATCGAACATTCACGCCCGAGTCCGAACAACTTAGGTTAAATTAAATTGATAGTGTAAGAATTCTTATCATCGACCAATCAGCTGTAAACATCTATCTGATTGAATGATTATACTGCAGGTACATTCATAACTCACTAGATTTTCTGATCTTCTTTCGTTATCAAAAAAAGGAGAGGACTAATGCAATTAGTTGGCAGCACAAAATAACATTTGACCCACAAAAATTGTAAGCTTTTGTAAACCTTCAACTTGCTGGTCTTGAACTCTTCTAAACTGCTAATGTATCTTTCAACTCATTTTTCAGCTTATTGTCTTGTCATGCTTTACGAGTTGCGACCGAGGTTTGACTTTCGTATAAACGGTCTCGGATTCATATGGTCATTTTGGACTTAAACGTATGTTCGGATTTGAATTCAGATGTTCCTAGAAGATTTTGGCTTTATTTGACGAACGTTAGCAATTTAAAGGTTTAGAAATTTCATAAGTTTGACTGGGAGTTGACTTTGAGGGTATCGAGCTCGAATCATTATTTTGGAAGTTGAAATTTGTTTGTTTTATCATATGGAACTTATGTGCAACATTTGGTCTCATTCCGAGTTGATTTAGTAGCATTCGGACGCGTTAGGCGAAATTTGAAGGTTTGAAAGTTAAGAGAATGATCTTCGTCTTCGATTTCTGATTTTGATGTTATTTATGATATTTTGAGATTTTGAATACGTTTGGATGATGTATTTGGACTTATTGATAGGATTGGACGAGGTCCCGTGGGACCCGAGTATGATTTGAATTGATTTCAGACTATTTCCCTCGTGGTTGGATTGCTGGCTTTTGCTCGTATTAGGTAAGAATCGCGTTCGTATTTGTGGTATCGCGTTCACGAAGAGTAAGTGAGGCTGGATGATATTGTTCAACACAAAAATTACTTATCTATTTTTCATCACTTAAAAGTCATTCAACTTTACCTTTGTAACTTAAAAATCATTCTACTTCAAAACCTATAAATATCCTATAAAAATATGACATGACATTAAATTTAGTTAAAAAATCTAATTATAGTGCCACATAAGCTTAGATGGACCATACCCAATTTAGACCCATTTCATCCACAATTTGATTTGACCCATAACCCAAATGAGTTTTAATATTTTGAACATTAGAAGGAAAAAAAGAGAACAATTATTTTGTGTTAAAAATATCTTACTTTATTTATTACGTAATAACCTTAATGTCACCACCTATAATTTCATTAAAAATATGAACAGAGCTAGCACATAACCAGTTTTTGCACCCTTCATATCATTTTATAATTTTTCATGAAGTTAAAATACTACCATATCATTCTCACATAACATATAAATGTACCACTAACAGACAAGAACAACAAGCTAATAAGAATCTATTTTCATAAATTACTATTCTATTAAAGTTAAAATATTACTTATTAAGCATTACTAACAGACAAAAATACTGCGGCGCAGTAAGAAATACCCACAATGAAATTGCATAGTAGAAGTTGTCAATACACACCGCAATCGTAGACAACCAATAGCGATAGTTTGGACAAAGAAAGAGACAACGTATTGTGTCATTGACCGTAAATGTACAACCAAAACTTAAAAGATAAATTCAAAAGACCTAATTTTTCCTAAATTTCTTAGACTTCTTTTTCTACAAATTAATCACAAAATCAAAGTGCTAGTCCAGTTAATTGTTCAAATATTAATAACCCACTTTGGTTATAGGTCAAATCGGGCCGAGTAAGAAATCGGTCTACCTTAGATATGGTCTATTTAAGCTTATGTGGCATTATTGTTAGATTTTTTAATTAAACGTAATGTCATGTTATATTTTTTATTGGATATTTTATAGGTTTTGAACTAGAATGATTTTTAAATTGCAAAAGTAAAATTAAGTGACTTTTAAGTGATAAAAAATAAATAAGCGACTTTTGTGAAATAAATGATAAGTTGAATGACCATCAGTGAAATTAACTCCAAGTTTAGCCAAAACCTCTCTGTTTCAATCAAGTGAGCCAGTTCTTAAAGACCTTTAAGTCATCTTTTGAATGGTGAATTGTTTCCTTGAGAGAACTAATCATATGGCTCAAAGAATGTACTGCCCCACTACGTACGATCAGCTTCTACACAAGAAGACGAGCCAGTAAGAAGATTGGGTGTCCTAGAGAACCACATCAGGTTCTACTCTTTTTAAGATCAACTTCTCTATTTATTTGGTATACTACTCGTATACGGAAGCTTTTTCGTTTGTTTACTGGAATCCTTTATTACTTGATCAAAAACGACAGAGGGACTAAGTTGTCCAAGTCTATATACAACACTGTCAAGAAAGGTATCAGCTAGCACACCTCAAGGCAATCTAAGTGGCAGCTTCAACACATTGTTGGTGAAAGTACAAGTACAGTTGAAAAAATGATGATGACAATTCTTCGGAGAAAGGTAATTGTTTACCCGAAAAATCGGATAACGTTAAATTTATGTATGATTCTAAGAATACGTAACACACTTTGATATAAATCGTACAGAGAGATACGAATATTCTTGACTATGACAATGGGAATAATGAATCAAAAAGAATGAATAAAATGAAGTAAGACAGGCACAAGGAGGTATCTTTTGTTCCAGTGTATTCAGTGTATCCATAGCTTACAAGGATCCCCTTTTATAGTAGAGGATCATTACTTTATTTATAATAAAAATAATAAAATAAAGCATATAGTGGAGGACCCATGATGATTTGTCTCTTCCTCGATTCCCGCCAAGATTCTTTCTCTTGGTGTGGTTGCAACGGCTCTTGTCTGTGAGCTCGATATTGGCTCGAACTCGTTACTGGGTCGAGCCCTTCTGTCTTGGCTCGAGTTCGACCTTTGGGATGGGCGTCGCGCAATTCCGACCTCGAAGCAATACCTTGCGGATCGATTTGGTCACGGGCTTAATAAGGTTATCGAGCCAACTCCTCGAGCAGCCTTCGGACTCGAGGCTCACTAGTACTGTCTTCGGAGCTCACTCCCAAAATCCTACTCCGACTTCTTACCACTTGAACACGATCGAATGTAGGAAGGCCGAAATCTATTTCGATTATATATAGATAGTCCCCTCGTTTCTCACGAAGGATGCGGTGAGAATCGATATGATTTACAACGGTTCGATCGGGTTATAAGCTGACGTTTTAACATGGATCGATTATGACGTATGTGATAGTTGTCCCATTTATTTAGTCTTTCAAGGTATTTAATGCTTGTCAGATGACGGTCGGCCACCTCTGATATTGAACCGTCATGATGCGAGCCTATAAATAACCCTTCCATCTAACATATACCACTTTTACGCATTCCCTCCTCCAAATTTTCTTATCTTTTCTCTCTATCTCGTCGCTTGCAGAGCCATCTACACTAGAGTTTTGGTATCGTCAATTTTTCACTTTCCTTTGCCTTTCTTCCTCTCATATCAATGGCCAAAACTTCGAAAACTGTACCTCAGAAGGAGAAAGCTTCTTCTTCACGGCCGTCAGGCGACAAGGCGCCGGTGGAGCCGTCCACCTATGACTATGTTCCCGAACCATGTACTCTGAAGATCGATTTTAAGGTAGAGAATCCTTCATCTATTCCGGGTCGATGCACATGTGTTGATGTACATGTGCTCTATAACGGAGGGTCATCTCGAGGCCGTTAGAAAAGACTGCAACTGGGGTTCCGAGGTTGTTTTGCAAATTTCATCCCCCGAAGAGAGCATCATCACCCATGTGGAGGGGTTTTTAAGTGTTTACACTTATCCCTTCACATTGGGTCCCGTCGACCCGGTGATCATTGATTTTTGCAAAAGATATCAGGTCACCCTCGATCAAATTCATCCCTCTCTATGGCGTATAGTAATCCTACTTCGCCTCTTCTCCATCAAAGCAGGGGGGCTGGATTTTTCCTGAATCACCTCATACGATTGTATCGGCCTCAAATCTTTCGAGGACTAATCAGACTTCATCGTCGGGCATCGAAGGCTTTGATGTCGAGCATCGACGAAGACAGGGATCGGGGTTGGATGGGCCGTTATATTCGGGTGAGGACCCGTTACCTTATTCCGGAAGAGAAGATGT